TGAGTTGAATTTATGATGACAGCTCAGTACAGTTTGGAGTTTCCGACTTCTTTTAGAAAACAAGCTATCATCATGATATTTGTTCACACTTTTGTAGTATTTCAATGACAACATTGTCGCGATGTATCATGATGTATTGGGGGGGGGGGGGTTGATAGTTATTTCATTTTAAAAGGGGGAGGGGTGAGAAGTTATTTTACGTTTAGCACAGGGGGGGTTTAGCTTTAATTTAAGCCCAATTTGGAGAATTTTAGAACCCTCCCTCCCGATTATTTCACAGTCCCTAATGCATGACACCCATCGTTTTGTTTGTGAAGCAAAACATGAGATGTTTCATCAATAGATCCGTCACAGCAGGGACCACCACACAGTGCGGTGAGCTGTAGGCTGGAGTCTGCAAAAAAACATGTTAAAACTTCGTGTTCCGTTTTTTTCCGCTTTCAARTCCTAACAAAAGAATCTATTTTCTTTACTTATGAGCTCTTTAGAATCAAACTCATTCAAAATCATGAGGTATCTATAGGAGACTATTATGGTGCAAACCTGGAACTCTTTTTACCTCGCAAGGTTAAATCTGCTAAAACCATTGGTAGTTTGAAAAACAAACCTAATAATATCACCTTACGTGATATTATTATATGGCCTACCTGAAAATCATTTCAATGATTTTTTTAAAATTCATATGAGCATAGCAACCGTATTCAAATGAAGATTGCTGTTGTTTGAGTGAGTGACTTAACGAAGAGTCTTCAATATGATTTTTATAGTGCTATTCGGATAAAAAGTCTCCTTGCCCAGGTTACTGAAGTGACATCTTTTTACCAAATTTAACGTACTCCTAAGTCCAAAGATCAAATAGTATTCCATGCTGTTGCCGATGGTCGACATATTGATTTCATATTCCACACAAGAAGTCACGAAAGATCTAGAGAAGAATAGGGAAAGGTACGGGGRAAAAATGGATGTAAATATCTGGCCCAGCTTTCTGAACTAGGCACCCTTCTACCTAATTAAGGTGGCTCCATGAGGTTTTATCAGCGTGCTACCATGGGCAACTTCAAATTGCAAATACGCGGACGCAAACAATTCAATACTCAAAACTAGATTTTTTTCTAGACGATTCAAGGGAAAGACGAAATTTCCGAATTGGCATGTTTTTAAAAGAAATCTTTCAGAATTTTTTTTTAGGAATTTTTTAGAATTTTTTTTTTTCAGTCTGGCCCATGGTTTGTATCAATAAACCATGGTTAGTTAACGATATTTATAAAACTCATCAATCATTATTGAGGAAAACACAATAGAAATCATTGTCCGTGGAGGAGGTTGTATATCTGATACAAAATCGTYCTGATTTGCATAAACTTTAACTCCAATATTCTCAGCCAAATTCAATTTTATCTTTGAAATTATACTAGAACATGAATGTATACACCTCGTTTCATAAGTAATATACAATATTCGTGTCCGTGTTGTATCAGATATACAATCACTCGCTTCGGCTTGTGGTTGTATATCTGATACAACACGGACACTCATACTGTATATATTACATAAARTGTGTATGTTCATAAAACTATTGACTAAGCTTTCCTAATATCGATAGAATAAAATTTTCATTTGCAGATTTCCAGTGTAAAGTCAAGGCCGCAAAGTCTGAGTTAATTGCAA